TCTGAATGAAATGGAAGAATTTCTAACAAATATTGATATGCCCAAACTAAACCAAGATGAGCTAAACTGACTTAATAGACCCATATCAAGCATTGAAATAGAAACAGCAATAAGAGACTCCCACTCAAGAAAAGCCAGGACCGGATTTACAGCTGAAATCTACAAGGCCCTCAAAGCAGAACTCACACCAATACTCCTCCAACTCTTCAATGAAATTGAAAATGAAAGTTCATTACCAAACTCCTTCAATGAAGCCATCATAACCCTCATCCCAAAACCAGGCAGGGACCCATTTCTTTGATGAACATCAATGCAAAATTTCTCAACAAAATTCTGACCAATCGACTTAAACAAGTCATCAAAAAATCATACACCATGATCAAACAGGATTCATTCCAGGGATCCAAACCTGGATGCAAATAAATTAATGTAATACATCACATCAATAAGAGCAAGGGTAAGAACCACATGATTATCTCAATAGATGCAGAAAAAGTATTTGACAAGAGCCAACATATCCTTATGATGAAAGCTCTGGAGAAGCTAGGAATCCAGGAATCATTTCTCAATACAATAAAGGCCATGTATGACAAACCTACAGCCAGTATTATACTTAGTGGCAAAAAACTAAAGCCATTTCCTCTAAACTCAGGAACAAGACAAGAGTGCCTACTCTCTCCATTCCTCTTTTTGCTCTAGAGCAATAAGACAAATAGCAAACATAAAGGGTCCAAATAGGGAAAGATGAAATAAAACTCTCCCTCTTTGCAGATGACATGATCTTGTATTTAAAGTACCCTAAAGTACCCCCATGGACTCCATTCCTAAGTTACTAGAGCTGATTCGAAACTTTGGCAAAGTAGCAGGGTAAAAATTAACCCTCAAAAATCAATGGCTTTTCTGTATGCCAATAATGAGAAGACACAACTGAAATCAGGAAAGCAACTCTATTTGTAATAGCCCCACAAAAAAATAAAATACCTAGGAATTAACTAAAGAAGTGAAGGACCTCTATGATTTTAAAACCTGAAAAAGGAAATTAAAGCACAACTAAGGAAGTGGAAAAACCTCCCATGTTCCTGGATTGGAAGGATTAACGTTGTGAAAATGGTAATACTTCCAAAGGCTATCTACAAATTCAATGCAATACCCATCAATAACCCAACCTTATTCTTCAATGAAATAGAAGAGGCAATCCAAAAATTCATATGGAACAATAAAAGACCCTGAATAGCAAAAATAATCCTTAGCAGAAAGAATAGTGCTGGAGGAATAACAATACCAGGCTTCAAACTCTACTACAAGGCCATAGTAATCAGAATAGCTTGGTAATGGCACAAGAACAGACCTGAAGACCAATGGAATAGAACTGAAGACCCAGAAATGAACTGACAGACCTATGGCCACCTAATCTTCAATAAGGGAGCCAAAAAAAAAAAAAATAGAATGGAAGAAAGACAGCCTCTTCAGTAAATGGTGCTGGTAAAATTGGATAAACAACTGTAGAAAACTAAAGCTAGCTCTGTATATATCACCCTGCACCAGAATCAACTCCAAATGGATCAAAGACCTCAAAGTAAAAGCAGAAACCCTGAACACATTACAAGAAGGAATAGGATAAACTCTAGGGTTCGTTGGCACAGGCTGAAATTTTCTTAATAAAGACTCAAACACAACAAATTAAAGAAAGGTTGGACAAATGGGATTGCATGAAACTGCAGAGTTCCTGCATGGCAAAGGACATAGCTAGTTAGATCAATAGAAATCCCATGGACTGGAAGAAGATCTTAACTAGCTATACAACAGACAAGGGCCTCATATCTAAAATATACTTAGAACTCAAAAAACTAATTCCCTCAACAACAAATCCTCAAAGAAACAACCACCCCATTAATAAGTATGCTAAAGACTTAAAGAGAGACTTCTCTGAAGAGGAAATAAGAATGGCCAATAGACACATGAAGAAATGCTCAATATCTCTGGCCCTAAAAGAAATGCAAATCAAAACAACATTGAGATTCCACCTCACCCCAGTTAGAATGGCTATAATCAAGAACTCTAATAACAACAGATGCTGGAGGGGATGTGGATACATTGTTGGTGGGAGTGTAAACGTGTTCAACCACTTTGGAAAGTAGTATGGAGGTTCCTCAAAAGATTCCACATAGAGCTCCCCTATGACCCATTAATCCCACTTTTGGGTATTTACCCAAACGACCGCAAACAAGGCCATACTAAAGCTACTAGCACAAGTATGTTTATCATAGCATTATTCACCATAGCTAAGATATGGAACCAACCCAGATGCCCCTCAGTAGACGAGTGGATCAAGAAAATGTGGTACACACACACACACACACACACACACACACACACACACACACAATGGAATTCTATGCTTCAGAAAGAAAGACACCTCCCCAAGACTTGGAAAAATTATATTAAGTGAAGTAAGTCATTCCCAAAGAAATTTAGGTTCTATGGTTTTCCTTATTTGCAATAATTAGTGTATGTATAGGATAATCTTATCAGATGAACTGAACAGCTCAAATGCTACATATAAGATGGTTACAGGTGGCTTTACACCTGTAATCCTAGCTACTCAGGAGGCTGAGATCTGAGGATCACGGTTCAAAACCAACCCAGGCAGAAAAGTCTGTGAGACTCTTTAAAAAAAATAAGTTTTTTATTGTGAAAATGCTGTACAGAGGGGTTACAATCACATGAACAAGGTAATGAGTACATTTCTTATCAAGCATTGTTGCCTCTTATCTCTGATAAACCACCAGAAAACCAGAAGTGGCACTGTGGCTCAAGCAATAGAGCGCTCACCTTGAGCTGAAGAGTACAGAGACAGCGCCAAGGCCCAGACTCAAGCCCCACTACCGAACAAAAAATAAAAAATAAAAAAAAAGAAAAAAGAAAGAAAGAAAATGATGCTGCGTGAAATGAATCCCAAGATATGGACACAAGAGGTCTGTCTTTGTTGTTATTGTTTTAAATGTACTATGTGATTTGTTTCCTTTGTATGTTCTTCCTCCTATTGTATATCCCCTGTTGTCACTGTACTTGATTTTGGTACCCTGAATCTTGTATATACATTTGTCTAATCTGGGGAGGGGAAGGGGAATAACAAAATGGTAAAATAAGGACACAAGATGACCCATTGCAACAATGATACCCACGGGACAGTATATTGGAAATGAACTTTACAACTTCAGGCAGGGTGGGGGGATGTGGTGGGGAGGAGTGTGGGAGGTGGGGGAAGGATAATGGGACAACAACAAGGGAAGGGGTAACAATGATCGGCAAGTAATGTACTCATTCCCTTACTCATGTAACTGTATCCCCTCTGTACAGCATCTTTACAATAAAACTTAAAAATATATTAAGTTTGATGTGTATGTGGAACATGGATTGGCGAAATTAAATGGATCGAATTTAACAGAGAATATTTTTCTCAGTATTGCTACAATTTCTTCAGCTTCAATAGTAGTTTGCTTTCTGTTCACTTTTCTGAAATCATGATGCATGAATATTTTAAATGCTTAGATATTTTAAGTAAGGAAATCTTGATAAACAATATTAAACAATTAAAGTGCCTAACTCTGCTGTATACATTAAAAATATTTGGCCTATTACTCAAAATAGCTCAAAGAAGTGAAGTTAATATGTAAGGGCAGTAACATGGCTGGCAGGCAGCCCCAGATCTCACACTTCAAGTGGCTTTTTACCTTTTGGTGTCTGCTTTATATTTAACCAGACATATGAAGTATTCCTTTTGTTATTTTTGAATTCTTATTACTTAATGCACACCAATTATGTAATATATATGATTCAGCAACTCTTACAAAAATTCTCAAAGTTGTAATACTTTTTGTGGAGTTAACTCCTTCTTTAGGATTCCAAGGGTGTTTAAGGCTGTAGTTCTGTAACCTAAGGAAATATGGGTATAGCTACCCAGTGACTCTGGACCATTGGGACAGTCAGCTTGATAATTTAGGCAGAGCAAAATGTTTGGCCTCTCTTAAATAGGTCATACTTGTTTTCATTTCTTGTGTTTAGGTTTCATTTCTTGTGTTTAGCTGCATGAACAATCCCCTGCAAAGGTTTTTTATTCCAGTAACAAAATGGAATCCTTTGAATCTGATGAATATAGCAGTGAAGAGAAGAGATCGTGTTTGCAAACAGAACTAAATCACATGTGAAAAACAAGGAGAACATGCCAGACTGTCTTATGATCAAGTATTTATAGTAAAGCTATTTATATCATTCGCTACAGGGAAAAGGGGATCCTAAATATAAATGAAAATTCTGAGGTTAGCATACTAATCCTTAACAGTGAAAACTCCAGTGCTGTCCTACAGGTCGAACAAAAGGTAAGAAAGTTTAGTAAGTGATCAAACCTATATTAAAACAGTAATGTTCTTTTAAACCTATTTAGATATTGCCTAATGAAACACATAGTTAATACTATTCCTACCATATATTAAGAAAATACATCTGCTTCTGTAACATGCTTATTTCAATGCTTACTAATAAAATATTTAGTAAAGTAAAACAATAAACATAAGATTATATATCCTTTTATTATAATACTGTGTTATAGGAAAGATTTTTTTTGGTGTGCACCAAAGCAACTCAAAACTTAAAAGGTAAGTCCAAAATAGTTCAATATAAATATGCATTTCACTTAAGTCGTATGTGAAAAGTTACTTTCCTGAATAAGCTTTAATTAAATAGTTACTCATCTAAGCTTCTATTTTATATTTAATTTGCAGCAGTCTAGAAAACTTTTAAATTTATTGGGAAAAAGTGAAATGAGGTTTTATGGAACATTAACTTGTCTTATGCAAATAAAAAATTTGTATTGTCAATTCTCAGTAGTATCACCTTTGCAATTACCTGAAATTCATAATTTTAAGAAGTTGATCATCTTTTCACAGGAAAAAGTATTTTGAATTTATTACACCCTTGAAGTGAAGCTGCCAGTGATTGACATGGGTAATTACGACAGTGATGAAGACACAGACACTGACTTTGACACCCAGCTGGTAATTCATCAGAGTTTACTTAGGGATATTTACAAGTTGGGAGCAACAGAACACGTACCTGATGATACCAGGTAATGGCTTTCTCCTTGTCAATGTTGAGACTCATTGTTAGCCTAACTGTAGAATCCTGACAAAAACAAGAGAGAAGGTCAGAATAGAGGAAGTTGTCCCTCCTCCCCCCTTCCCCTCCCACCTTCTACTGCCACTGATGTGGATAGAACTCAGGTCCTCGTGTATTTCGTGCATACTAGATGAGTGCTGTACCACTGAGCTACACCCCAAGCCAGGAACTGTCATATTTAAATGTGTATAAGATGCCTCACTAGGCTGGGGATGTGGCTTTAGTGGTAGAGTGCTTGCCTAGCATGCATGAAGCCCTGGGTTTAATTCCTTAGTACCACACAAACAGAAAAAGCCAGAAATCATGCTGGCTCAAGTGGTAGAGTGCTAGCCTTGAGCAAAAGAAGCTCAGAGACAGTACCCAAGTCCTGAGTTCAAGTCCCAGGATTGAAAAAAAAGATGCCTCACTGGAAAGAAAACACTTGGAAAGACTTCATTTAATCAGTAAAGAAAATAATTGAAGGAAGTTAGTGGCAAATATGGGTGAGAGATGCAAACTAGAAATCAGAAGGAAAAGAATAAAGGAGGTTTATGAGTGGCTAGAGGAAAATAGCTAACACACCTTGTCTTTATAAAGATAAAAACATAAAGACACATAAAAAGTTACTGAGGTAGGTGAGGAGGGGGTCCAGTCTTTAATCAAGTCAAGGGGAGGAATTATGTCAATTTAATCACAGAAGAAGCTAACTAGATTCTGAAGGTGTGGATTCAGAAAAATCACCCTGAATGTGAGCAGTATAGTTAGGCTTAGCAGCAACCTCAGTTCCATAAAGTAGGAGCCATTGTTTTCTTCATATGGAGTTTGTCTCTGATTACCTGCTGTTTTACTTTTTCCTTTTGGTTCATATCAGATACTGTAGTTTTCTCTTCCTTTTAGAATTACCTATTTTTTTTTCTATGCAGCTTCCATTCTTTTTTGAGTGCTGACTATAAGAAGATACTTAAAGCAATAGAGGCAGTTAAGTACTCTTCCTATTCTCCCTACAACTTGTGGTAAGATGTCCTGGTGACAACTGGCAGAGGATGGAGGGCACAGTTTCTCATCAGGAGTCTGATTGGCCTTTTCTGGGAATACTTAGATGCAATTCAGAAAAGAGCTCCTGAATTCCTCTGTAGGCAGAACTATTCATTTCTGTATGAGAGAAGACACTATGGGTGTTTGTTCTCAGGCCAAAGTGGTATGGAAGGTTAGAGGACCAGACTTATTGCTTGTCCTAAGCCATATAACAGTTGCATTTCATCTAAGGTGATGCTCTCCTTCTGTTGTCTGTGTACTAACTTTGGTGGCAGAATTCAGCAGCAGTATGGGCTGCCTTGTATTTGTGCCAAATGTGATTTGGTTCTCGTTTTCCTTGCTAATAGGTGAGGAAGATGCATTGTCACACTTAACCACGTGCCATTCTGCTTTTGATGAAGCAGATGGGATAGGCTGGATTCCTCTTCATAAGGCTGCAGTGCAGTTAAATAAGAACATTTTAGAAATGACACTGAGAGGTAAACTCCCTTTTATTCCTCTTGAAGCTTAGAAAGGAAATCTAAAATGTATTTGTACACTTTAACTTGTGTGGTATGATGAATTTATTTCAGCTTCAAAACCCAGTATGTGGGAGCAAACAACCCACAATGGAGAAACACCACTGTTTTTGGCTGTCAGCAATTGCCTCTTGGAAAATGCCAGTTTTCTTCTTCTCAATGGTTGCAATCCAAATGCTAAGAATTTTGAAGGCAATTCTCCTCTTCTAACAGGTAAAGAAGCATCTTGTCTCTGGAGAAGAGTCTGTAGCTCTGATTCCTTCATATTCACAGGTTTCAAAAGCAGGTTTTGGTGCATAGCTGTAGCCCTGTCCCTTTGGTCCTAATTGGTCAGCTATAGGAAGCTTAGGCATAGTGGTACACACCAGTCATGCCAATATCTGGAGTCTGAATCAGGAGGATTGTTAGTAAGAGGCCATGGGCTGTCTAGTAAGACCCCATTGCCTCTCCTACAGCCCTCCAAAGAAGAAGTTTGCTATAGATTAGTTTGTGAGTTGATGCAAAAATCTCTGCCCAATAAAAAGCAGCTATTTTGCATGGTGCCTCAACCATTGGATTCTAGAGTAAAACTTGTAACAGAGAAGCAGAGTCTTAAGAGCACAGGTGAAGACAGGCAGCCGAAATATTTAAGAAGTGGGCAGACAGTCTCTATATTGCTTTTCCCATCCTACCTACTGGGACAAATTCTTCCACAATCCCAGGAATTTTGTGGAGATTTATTCTCTAGATAGCTTACACAGAAGGTCTCTGGAAAGAAGTTTGTTTTTGTTGTTGTTGGTTTTGTTTTTCGTTTTTTGTCAGTCATGGGGCTTGAACTCAGGGCCTAGGCAAAGATCCTGAGCTTTTTTGTTTAGGGCCAGCACTCTATCACTTTGAGCCACAGCTGCACTTCCAGTTTTGGGGTGGTTAATTGAAGATAAGAATCTCATGGACAGCCAGATGCCGGTGGTTTATAGGCTCATGCCTGTAATCCTAGCTACTCAGGAGGCTGAGATCTGAGGATCCAGCCAGGCAGGAAAGTCCCTGAGACTCTTATCTCCAATAAACCACCGGAAAACCACGAGTGGCTCTGTGGCTCAAGTGATAGAATGCTAGCCTAGAGCTGAATAGCTGAAGGACAATACCCTGGCCCAGAATTCAAGACCCACAACCGACTAAATAAATAAATATCACATGGACTTTTCTGCCCAGGCTGGCTTTGAACCATAAGTCTCTGAGTAGCTAGGTTTACAGGTGTGAACCATGAGTGCCCAGCTGGATAGAGAGTTGGGACTACTAGCTTGAAAACAGTGGAGACATTATGAAACATAGACTGAGACCACCCAGGATCTCAGAAAGCTGATAGCCAGACCTTTATTCTCCAGAAAGAGGCTTCTCTGAAGAATCTGACTAGTAAGGAGAAAGTTTTAAAGGTACTGACGCGTGGGGCTTCCCCCAAAATAGCCTAAACACACCATCCTATAGCCAAACTCATTTAAGTCCCAGTCACTGTTTAGAATTTCAGCCAGCTTTGTAGTCCTCAGATCCTATTTATGAGTAGACAGATAGCAAGGTATTGTCTCAGGAAAATCTTCAATGGAAACAAATAACTTGGAGGAAACAGATTATTTAAGGGGAAGTAATGTAAAGGGAAGTTATCATTAATTACCCCCAGAGAAATTAGTGAACTAAGAATAGGATAGTAGGCTGAACACTCATGGCTCATGCCTTTCATCCTAGCTGAGATCTGAGGATCATGATTTGAAGCCATCCCAGGGAAGGAAAGTCCATGAGACTTTCCAATTAACCACTAAAAAGCCAAAAGTGGATCTGTGGTTCAAGTGGTTGAGCACTAGCCTTGAGCAAAAAAGTTCAAGAACAGTGCCCAGGACCAGAGTTCAAGCCTCAAGACTGGCACACGCGTACACACACACACACACACACACACACACACACACACACACACACACACACACACCCCTATTCTACAAATTGAAACATTTGGGAAGTTGGGAAAACCCAAGATTAAACCCCAAATCACAATATTCAGCAGTGTTTTGTACTGTTTTCTTTTTTATCTTTCATTTTTTACTTTGATGTTTTACACATACAGGTTTTAAAAAGCCAGTTATTTTCCCAGCCTTCTTCCAAAGAGGCATCTGTTAGTTGATTATTTGCCATTAATGATTATATTTCTAAATAACCTGGAGCATTGCTGCTTTTTTTGGGGGGGGAGGGTCCGGTCGTGGGGCCTGAACTCTGGGCCTGGGCGCTGTCCCTCAGCTCTTCAGCTCAAGGCTAGCACTCTACCACTTGAGCCACAGCACCACTTCCGGCTTTTTTCTTTTTGCTTATGTGGTGCTGAGGAATCGAACCCAGGGCCTCGAGCATGCAAGGCAAGCGCTCTACCACCGAGCCACCTTCCCAGCCCATTGCTGCTTTTTTTTAAACTTTTTGGTTTTGGTATAATGACATCCATAATGAAAATGAAGATTTAACTTTTTCTCCTCCAGTGCCTACCACACATTTCTAATTCTATCATCCTCCAATACTTTTACCACATTTTGCTAGATGGATATCCAGTGTTTATCTTATTTTATGTTTGCTATTTAAAACAGGATCATAACTATACTTCCTTGCCTAGCATCTTTTTATTTTCCCTTGGCTTTAATTTACTTGGCTTTCAATCTACTGATCATTAATTTAACCCCACCCTCTTTCGAAGTGCTCAAATCTCAAGACATTCCTTCCAATCTTATTTTTAAATTATCTTTAAGTAGTTGCACAAAGGGGTTTCAATATAACATGTCAGCTTGTGAGAGCAATGCATTTTGATTAATGTCTCTCATGATTTTCTCCTATCTCTTCTAAACCTACTCATTCAAATCTTAAAGAAGCTTTAACCTGGGGCTTCCTATCCTGTTCCAGTTTGGACCTCATAACATGTTCCAGTCTGGACCTCATAACATGTTCCAGTCTGGACCTAGTAACCTGTTGCCATCCTAAGATTGTGATTCCCCATCATTTGGGGCTCTTATTTAACTATCAACTGGTTGCCGGGCACCCGTGGCTCATGCCTGTAATCCTAGCTACTCAGGAGGATTGGGGCTCTTATTTAACTATCAACTGGTTGCCGGGCACCCGTGGCTCATGCCTGTAATCGTAACTACTCAGGAGGATCTCAGTTCAAAGCCAGCCTGAGCAGGAAAGGCTGGGAGACTCTTATCTCCAATAAACCACGCAGAAAACCGGAAGTGTCATTGTGGTGCAAGTGGTAGAGCGCTAACCTTGAGCTGAAGAGCTGAGGGACAGCCCCAAGGCCCAGAATTCAAATCCCATGACTGACAACCAAAAACAAAACAAAAAGAATCACTATCACCTGGTTGAATATCATTTTTCTTGGATCCCTACCATGTATACTTCTAATTTACTGCCTCATTGGTATAACATTTGCTCTATCAGCTAGATAGATAAAGTTTTTGAGGTCTTCCAAGTCTGAAAATAAATATCATATGTCTTCAGATTTAATAATTTGGCTAAATATAGAATGTTAAGTTGAAAATAATTTGTAAAACTTTTCTTCAGCATTTCATCAAGCATCTAGTTACTGGTGAGAAGTCTGAACCCTTTTGATTGGCCATCTTTTGTATGCGTTTCCCTTTTTCCTCTCACAGAAAATGTATGGAAGCTTCTTCTGCTCCCTGGCAACTCTCTCTCTCTCTTTAAATAATTTCATTTATTACAGAAGAGTTTGTGCTTAGTGAATTTAAACTATATGATTAAAATATAAACATATGACTCATAACCCCAATTCTTTGAGATGCTCTTTGTTAACATTTTCATATCTATCCTTGCATCACTTAGTGATACAAGATTGAATCTTCATTGTAAGATTTCTGGAGGGTTTAATATACCAATATGCGGAGTGGATTTTGAAGAGAGTGATAGAATGTATAGCTTTCCCAAGCATTCTTATAGTGCATGTGTACATTCATGTATATGTGTGTGTCTGTTTTGTTGGATATTGGATTACAACCCAGGTTCTTGCACATGCTAAGCAAGCACTGTACTAGAGCTATACCCCAAAGTCTTGTTTCTGTTGTTTTTGTTTGTCTGTTTGCCATTTTTATTAGCTTGTTAGTTGTACAGGGAATATTTCAGTGTTTATTTCTGTAATTGTTGTTAACTAACTATAGAATTGTTTTTTAAACAAAGAACCTCAAGATGTTGCCTGCACAGCACATTTTGGAAACATAAGCCAAAATTATCATTTTCTTCAAGCTCAGTCATTTACCCAAACATACATACTTAAATTGCATTGTAGTCATTTATTTGCTGAGGTCGTTCCATTGCTATTGTGTTTTTTCTTCTTTTAAAGCAACTACAAACATTTCTAAGAATGCATGGAGCTCCTAGGTTCTCATTTTCTTGAAAAAATAAACATAGTGCAGATTTTTTTCAACTATGTAATCTTGGCCAATAGATGATGAATAATTGGTTGTGGCTTGCAGAAAAACAAATAGCCATTTATAGAAAACACTACTAATACTATTTGCAGTATGCCTTATTTTATAATGTGTTTCCCAAACACAGAATGGTAGGGTATGAGAGTAGGTGGGAAGAGCTCCTTATAAGCCTGAAGGACACTAGCCAACAAGACAACACTTTGGTCCCCTGCTGAACATAATGCTAACCTCACTTATAATTTTCCAGCTGTTTTACGTGACTCCTATGACATGGCCGCTTTGCTGATCAGCCGTGGAGCAGATGTCAATCTGCGGTGTGCCAACGAGAGGACAGCTCTCCATGAAGCAGCCAAGCTAGGCAGACAGGACATGGTGAAGCTTATGCTGCTTTCTGGGGCACAGCCTGACCCACAGAGCTCCTATGGATTCACTCCTCTTGCTCTTGCTGCCCAAGGAGGACACACTGAAATTATGGAACTATTACTACAGAAAGGTAAGATTTTCTATAGTCAGCACACTACCAGGGGTAATGTAACCCAGGTATTTTCCTCTTGGTGATGATTCAAAATAGCACAAAATAACATTTCATTTAAGACCAATATAAATGTTTGATAAAATGATGTGTTGGCTACTAAAACACTAAAACACAGATTTAATTTACTTGGTCTGAAAAAATTTCCCTAAAATTATTAAGGTTATCCAGGTAACTCCTTTATTTAATATTTCCGCATTGTGCTAAGAGAACAGTTTTACACACACACACACACACACACACACACACACACACACACTTCTTTTTTTGGTGTTTTCCTTTTCTAGAATCAAAATTGAAGTCCCAGCAACAATCTACCCGTCTCTCTTGTGCTATTATGAGACAGTTTAATCTTTTATCCAATGGCTTTAGGGAAATCATCCCAATTTCTTTTCTTTAGGTCCTATTTCTTTTCTTTAGTAATAATCAAAACTTTAAGAGAAGGAGAGATGCAACTTATATTTATTGAATGCTTTCTATATACCAAGACTTAAGCTACTTGCGATGCCTGATGTAATACTTTAAAATTTCTGTGAGGCATGTATTGAGATCATTTTGTACTGGAAAGATGTCAGGGAACATATTCATTGCAAGACTTCTTTATAAACACACTCCTCTTCCCAGCCCTACATGGTAGCTGTGGCCACTTTAGATTCTGGCTAAACAGGTAGGGACTTTTGGTTCAGAATATGTTGGCACTGTCAGTTGAAGCAGTCCATCTATAAATTTTTTCAAACAGGAAAATTTTTACCAAGATTTAACAAATTCCAAAACCTAGAATTATTTTTCTCTCCCCTGTCTCCAGAAGCCTTTCTTTTTACATGGTCATGGTCTCCTATATTCAAGAACAGTTCTATATTTTGTAGACTTACCTAGACCTTTCCAATAATATAGAGGAAAGTATGAATAATATATTAATAAGGCATTTTAAATAAGATGTTTGAAATAAGCAATATGAAGGATGCCTAAAGTAACAAAAGTAAATACTAGTTCTTTCATACTTGAGGAAAGAGTAATTTAGTTAATTAATTAGTTAATTCATTTTTATGGAGTCCAGGGCTTTGTAGATGCTAGGCAAGTGTTTTACTTTTGAACTATACTTCTAGGTCTAGAGTAATATTTGTTTAGATCACTGATAAAAATCTAGAGAAGAGAGGCAACAGAGTTTAATTTTTTACCTTTGAAAGAAACCAGCATTGGTTGATCACAATGAATCCAGTGATTGAGCATTTCCCTAAAGTAAGCCCTTACAAAATAATTTGCACAATATGAAATATTAAATGGCAGAATAGACATTTGAAACTACATCTACTGATTCCAAATCATATTAGTTTAATAATCTGTGTGGTAACATAGCATCAACAAAAAGAAGCCTTCAGCTTAGAAGATCTGTGTACACATCTTAATCACCTTGTTTACTAGATGTGTATCTTTAGAGAAGTCATCTAAGTTCAGTAAGTCTTACTTTCTTCATCTTTAAAATGAGAGGTATTGGCTTGGCAACTATTTGGGGGTTTATTGTGAAGTTTAGAAGTGATTATACACATGAAAGAACCAGAACATAATTGAGGCCTGATTCTTTAATGCATTCTGGGAATGGGTTCTTGGTCAGCCACTGTACCTTGATGATTCTTACGGAATATGTACTAAATTCAAGTTACTGTATCTTTTTTATGAGTTGTAAATGTTCCTAGAATGTTGTTCTCAACTTTTGTCCATTCAGATGCTACTCTTTCTTCAGAGCCTATTTTATAGACTTGCAGATATGACCCAACTCCTTTCTCTTTACATTTCCAATTCCTTTCATAACTTCACCCCTAGATATTCTGGAAAACACTTTGCCCATACTTAATTTCCACACCACTCACAAAACACTTAGAATACAGTAGTTCTACAGTTTATCTGCCTAGTTATCAGCAGTTCCCAACTTCAATTAAAAACTATGAATGTGTCTTTCTATGAGTGAGTTAAAACAGAACAAATACTCTTTTCTGCCAAAACAACATTAGACAACATGGTGATATAGTCCAATCAATGTATTAGCCCCATACGTAGTGATCATGTTGTGATATATATATTACTACAGTAATAGTAATAATATAGTAATTGAGTTAAGCAGCTTCTTTTGTAGGCCATTATTGAAAAAAGTTTTCTTGTTATAAAAATATTTCTACTGGAATTTTCAAGTTTCACACAAATAATTTATAATATTAACATGAAAGTCAACCTAACTATAATTTACAAACTGTCTGCATCATTATTTTTTCTCCCTAACTAGATTATAAACTAGATTATAAACTAGATTATAAATAGGAAGTGTATATTTCATTTCTTTGATTCTAAGTGGTTTGCTAGAGTAGTTACTCACTAATTATTTTTTGGTGGTAGTGATCTATTTTTAAGATTGCTTAAATAATACAATGGAAAAGAAACTTGGCATAATGAGATTCTTTCTCCTCTTAGGCGCTAATGCTCACGTTCAGGCCTCTGATGCCTCTTCCATCTTACTTGAAGCTGCTAGAGGAGGAAATCCAGACTCTGTGACTCTCTTGCTAGAATATGGAGCTGATGCCAATATCCCTAAGAATTCAGGCCACCTGCCTATTCATGTAGCAGCTGACAGAGGCCACTTATTGTAAGCGTCATTGCATTTTTCTAAATAATAGAAATAGCAATAGCTGAACGTGGTGCTGTGGCTCAAAGTGGTAGAGAACTAGCCTTGAGCAAAAGAGGTCAAGGGCAGTGCTCAGGCCCTGAGTTCAAGCCCCACAAATGACAAAAAAAAAAAAGCAATAGCTAACTGTTATTTTGGAGCAGCTTCTAGGAACCATACATGCTTCTAGGAACTTTATAAAATTCTTAGAATTTTATAAACTTTAAAAACTTTTTTCTCTGATCCAACAATGAAAACTCTTAAAGAATCTCTTGATCAACTAGAAAGTAGTAAGGCATTTATTACTAAGGATAATAATTCTTATTATTAGATACTTAGGCACCATTGAAAGTTTTCATTTCAACTGCCTGGGTTTATTCTAGACAATAGTTCTATTAAATTTTACTTTGCATCTAAAGGAATTAGCATTTCCATTGGGGAGTCTAAATACCATCAGATACAAACTAATATGATTCATTGTAGATATGAAAGAATTATAAACATGTCAACTCTGTACCTTAACAAAATCTGTTCATGGGCTGGGAAGGTGGCTCAGTGGTAGAGTGCTTGCCTTGCATGCATGAGGCCCTGGGTTCTATTCCTCAGCACCACATAAACAGAAAAAGCTGCAAGTGATGCTGTGGCTCAAGTGGCAGAGCGTTAGCCTTGAGCTGAAGAGCTGGGGGACAGTGCACAGGCCCTGAGTTCAAAAAAAAATCTGTTCACAAATGCACTTATTCCCCCTCAGAGCTCTGAAGATGTTGGTTCCAGTTACAGATATTGCTGCCATCAAGCAGAGTGGGATAAGTCCAGTTCACTGTGCAGCAGCCGGAGCTCATTCTCAGTGCCTGGAACTTCTCATACAGGCAGGATTTGATGTGAATTTCATGTTAGATCAGAGAATTCGAAAACATTATGATGACCAAAGGAAATCAGCTTTGTATTTTGCTGTATCAAATGGTGACCTCTCTTCAGTTAAGCTGCTTCTGAGTGCTGGAGCTCTACCCAATCAAGACCCAGTTAACTGCCTACAGATAGCCCTCAGGATGGGCAACTATGAGCTAATAAATCTTCTGCTGAGGCATGGGGCCAATGTCAATTACTTCTGCAGGGTCAACCCTTTACATTTCCCATCAGCACTGCAATACACATTGAAAGATGAAGTCATGCTCAGAATGCTGCTGAATTATGGATATGACACAGAGCGATGTTTTGATTGTCCTCATGGGGACAAAGTTCATCGTTCCCATACTTTTGAAGGCTGGACACCTACAGTTATTAAAGATACTATGGTAAGTTCACAGTATCGATGGCATTATCCTTAATATAGTCATTACCTGAAGCCTTAGAATAATAGCATTATCAGTCTACTCTATAAGCTCATGGTTGGAAAAACTCTGATATGATAAACATACCTATAATATGATTAAAAACATAATAGAAAAATATGGGACATACAGAAATAATTCAGAGGAAAAAGTAACGTTACCTGAACCTGTCAAGGAATTTCACAAACGAGACCACATCTGAACAAGGTTATAAAGAATAAATACAACCGGCACCAGTGGCTCATGCCTGTACTCTTGGTTACTTAGGAGGCTAAGATCAGAGAATTGCATTCAAAGCTAGCCCTGGCAGGAAAGTCATGAAACTCTTATCTCCAATTAACCAACAAAAAGCTGGAAATGGAGCTGTGGCTCAAGTGGTCGAGTACTAGCCTTGAGCAAAAAAAGTGCAGGGACAGCACCCAGGTTCTAAGTTCAAACCGCAGGACCAGCACCAAAAAAAAAAAAAAAGAGAGATTAATGCAGCCTTACATTCTTGCTACATAAACTTTTTCTTTGAAAGAATTATCTAGCAGCTAAAATGTCTCAGGGTCCCAATATCTGTAGCCTTTAGTTTCTAGCTATCTCTTTTAGCTTTAATATTTGATTAAATGACTTCTTTTGGTAACTTTTCTGATGAAAATGAATCATGGTAAGCAGCTGGTCCCAACCTTCTATTTGAGATCTTTTCCTCACATCAGTTTCCTAGTTTGCCCTTATCTGGCCACTCCTAGCTGCAAGTGAAGCTGGAAAGGTAATATTCATTGCAGACATCCAGGTGACCAACAAAGGGATTAAAAGATACCATGGAAGTCTCTGTTTCACCCACATAACATCTGTGGTTTTGAGGGTATACTAATAAATATTTCAGGGTGAAAAGATAAAATGAAAAATGTAAGACTTTGGTTCTTAACATTGAGTTCAGTATTTCTTTTGTCAGTGTGGGGCTTGAACTCAGGACCTAAGAGCTGTCCCTGAGTCAAGGCTAGTACTCAACCACTTTGAGCCACAGCTCCACTTCTGATTTTTGAGTGGTTAATTGGAGATAAGAGTCTCACAGGAACTTTTCTGCCCTGGCTAGCTCTGAACTGTGATCTTCAGATCTTAGCCTACTGAGTAGCGAGGATTACGAGCACCCAGCTAATTTAGTATTATTTTGATTATTATTTTGAGCTACAAGTACTTAGTGCTTTTCACTTACTTTCTGTTTTTTCCCCCTATCAGTTCTGTGAAGTAATAACTTTGTCATGGCTGCAACACCTCTCTGGGAAAGTTGTTCGAGTGATGCTTGATTATGTTGATCAAGTTCAGATCTGTTCAAAGTTGAAAGATGTGCTCCAAAAACAGAGGCTCTGGTCAGAAATACATTTTATCATGAGTGAGTTTCTTGTAGGAAATTTTTACTAAAATACAAATTATATTATTATTTTTTAGAACACTCTTCTGTTATGGTCAAAAGCTTGATCTAAGAAACAAAAAAAAAACCCACCCCTAATCCTTTCTTTAACTGATAGTGTTTATAACTGTATTTTATGCTTATTACCATTTTCCAGTAGATAAAATATGTTAGTATATTACTTATTATATAGGTAGGTAATACTTTTTTCTTAACTCAAACCATTGTTTTGAAGAAACACTATACAGATAAGAATTAAAACAGGCCTAACAGCAGTAGCTCATGCCTGTAATCTTAGCTACTCAGGAGGCTGAGATCTGAGGATCTCGGTTCAAAGCCAGCCCAGGCAGGAAAGTCTGTGAGACTCTTATCTCCAATTAACCACCAGAAAACCGGAAGTGGTGCTATGGTTCAAGTGGTAGAGTGCTCACCTTGAGCTGAATAGCTCAGGGACAGCAGCATCCTGGCCCAGAGTTCAAGCCCCATGACTGACCAAAAAAGAAGCTGTGAAGCAGCAATTTAAATAAAAGAGAGGGATGATGTTGTGTGTGGTGGCTCATGCCTATAATACTAGTTACATAGGAAGGCTGATATCGTAAGTATCATGGTTTGAAGCCAGTCTAGGCAAAAAAGCTCACAAGACTCTATCTCAGTTGATAAAAAATTGGGTGTGGTAGTATAACATGTCATCTTATCTATACATGAAGCATAAATAGGAAGGTGGCAGTACAGGCAGGCTTCAGGAAAAAGTGAGACTCTATCCAAAAAATAACTAAAGCAAAAATGGCTAGAAGTATGGCTCAAGTGGTAGAAAAATCATATGCCAGGTTCAGAAAGACTAAGAGTGCATATTTTCTCCCATGTGTGGATATTCGACCTAAAATATCAATATATGTGAAAACACATACAGGGCCATATGTATGTGTGTATATGTATGTATATGTATATATGTGTACATATACAATCAAACTGACTGAAGTATGGTATACTCAGGAGTGATTCATGGTGTAACCACTTTCAACAATTAACAGTCTAAGAAAATGAGTGCCAAGTTGCTGATACATGCTTAGAGTGAGAGGGAGGCGAGGGGCTAAAAGGAGGGCTGATGAATGGAAAGAGGAATACTTGGTGAATGCAGTCATAATACTCAATGTGCATACATGAAAATGGAACCAGGAAACTCGATGAGGTGGAGGGGGATGGAATAGATGGGAAGGGGGAGAATGAGGGAAGGAATAACTGATCAAGATGCATTGCACACATAACTGGACATGTCACTTTGAAACCCCTTGTATTCGGTGATGAAGGAATTAAAATTTTCCTTCATCTTGTTTTTCCTTGAGTTCTCTTCAGCTTTAAGCCTGTCCCTGAGGGCCAAGATTGGGCAGAGAAACTGAAAGAGATTAAAGGATTGGGGAGTCATACAGGTCAGACCCACAATTGATATGCCTTCAGGCTCCAACTTGTTGTGGTCTTGAAACCCTATGTACCTGAAGAGTTGCAGTAAAAACTGAAAAGCTGAGTGGACATGTTGAATTGAAATCCTGTGTATAGCTACTTAAAGATTTAAAAAAACAACAAAAACTCAGAAAGGTTGGTTTCCTATTGACCTTTCCTTTTAGTCATAGTGAACACAAAAATCCCAGTATCAAATATATTGCTAAAAAATATATATTGCTAGCTAAATGCTGAAATGTACGGCAGTCATTTTATCTTTTGGATAATGTATGTATTTCTTTCATTTTAGCAAACCCTCGCTCTCTAAAACACTTATGTCGCCTTAAGATCCGGAAGTGTATGGGGCGTTTACATTTGCGCTGCCCAGTCTTCATGTCATTTCTTCCATTACCCAATCGTCTAAAAGCATACATCCTTTACAAAGAATATGACCTTTATGGGCAAGGAACTTTTACTGGGACCTGGTAATCGGGCTATTCTAAAGAAAAAGGTATAACTCTGCAGCTGTTTTTCTTAATATTTGACTTGTTGCATATGACTCATTTCTTTTTATTTACCCAGCAATTAAAAGGTAAGTATAGCCTACCTTCTTTAAAAAGGTGTTTTCAATGTAGTCCCCTCACATACAATTGGCTAGAATTATAAAGGCAGCTTAAGAAAAACAAGTCAGTAGGCATTGTGACACATACAATCCCAGCACTTGGGAGGCTGAGTAAGAGGATGGTGAGTTCAAAGCCAGCCTGGGTTACATAGTGAAATGTTGTTTAATTAATTAATTGAAATCAAAATTTAATAAATAAAAATTAACTGAAATATACCAGTTTTAATTCTACATTGATCTTATAATAAGTGAGCCTGTTTTTTGTCTTCAAAATAATGGATACCATCTCTGACAATTAAAGATGATTTTTAACAGTAATCTTTTTATGGAGAATATGTGTCTTAGGGATTATTAATATATATTGATTATGTTATTACATGACCTAGAAACTAGCTTTCCATGTACAAAAATCAGTGCCAGGTTAGTTTCTGAAAGTTTCTTTGTAGCCAAATACAATGATGAGATAATTTGCTGAATTGAAATAGAACCTTCATCATCAATGGAAAAATGTCTCTTCATTGAAAAAAAAACAGACCCTTGTTTTTGGTAAATATGATCCATGGAATGGGGATTAATTGTGTTTTCAGGGCTGGAGACATGGATCAGTGATAAACCACAGAGCCTGTAAGAAAAAAGAGAACAGGCACTTTTCAGATCAAGGATCCCCTCCTATGCATCACCCAGAGCCAGGGCCAGAGCTCAACTCAAAGTTTGGGGCAGACCCAAAGTCTTATTTAGGCTGAGTCTGGGTACTGAGCTGAGCAGATCACCTCAGCACACAGCTGGTTTTCTCCAGGCATCTCTTGGTGATTGCACAAATTTACTCCTCCCCTAGGGCAAGTGAACTAGGGATAGAACCGGAAACTGAGGGGGAGAGGTGGAACCTCAACTTCCTCAAGCTGCTTCTCTATTTACAAGATCAACCTTGGCTTCCAAGGCCCTTCATTAATCACCTGCCAAGGGTTAATCTTGTGACCACTGGTCCAAACCTATTGAGCTATGAGTATGTCCTGAGCCCAGCTGCCCTTCCACAAGCTTGACTGTGACTGAGCTGGCCCTCCTGAGAGACTATGTATGACTTCTGACTCAGAAGAAGGTGGACTAGGATCCTCGTCCTTTCATCCTCCTCCTCCTTTCTGCACCCTCCTGCACTTTTGTTTTTGGTTTTTGTCCCTTCCTCACTTCCTTCATTCTTCCCTTCCTCCTTCCCTCCTTGCCTCCTTTTCCCCTTCCCTTCCCTTCCTTCTTGTTTCTATTGGATCTTGAACACAGGATCTTGTTCTCTAACTTGAGCCACATCCTCAGCCCCTTCATCTTGTGTTTTCGTCTGGGGCCAGCCTTTAACCATGATCTTCTACCCATGCCTTTTATGTACCTGGAACCACAGGGGCATGGCACCAATCCTGGCTTATTTTGGTTGAGATGAATATCTCAATAACTGAGCTCCTGAGCTGGCCTTGAACTCCCTCCACAGTAGCTAAGGTGTGAGCCACCTTAGCCACCCAATTCCCAGGTGTGCTTTTGTCCCATCATTTTCATTTTTTAGAATGATGTCCTATTACTTGTTAAATCCCTACCTGCTTTTGTGGATTCGTCACAACTTCAAGTCTCAATTAACATCTGGGGCTTAATTCATTCAATAACATCCACTGGAAATTCATTATTCTCGCTTCAATTTTTTTGCATCATTGTTTGATGAGATTGTGTTAAAAGACCCCAGAGATAACTGAGAATCATACTTCAAGCCCCATGTGGTCTTTGTGAAGCTTCTCAATATCACCAGAGCCCAGGACATGTTGATTGGTCATAGGTGGCTCCAGCCAAGACAGTGCCTCCAGTCACTTAACCAAAGGTAGTGCCATAGTCACATCTATGACGAGGCAAGTGAGACTACAGGTCACCCCGCAGCTTCTTCCAGACTTTCAGGGATGAGGCCGGAGTGTCATTCCCCGGCCCTTTCTGTACCACTGAGCTGAGTCTATGCTGCAACTAGAAGGCAGATTTCTATGGAAGTGGGAGGAGTGAACAAGCATTTCTGAAGTTTTCAGGAGAGAGGGATATTGGTCCATGATCACTGCTGGACAATGGAAGTCATTGCTCTGACAATGGTCAAGGGACCCAGACAGCTGTCCTATTGTGCTGCTTCATACAGCACCTACCTGAACCTCAGTATCATCTTCCTAGTGACTAGCAGCTCTGTAGGAGCTGTACAGGTTGACACCTATGACAGTGTTCCTCAAGGGTATTTCCTTACTCTGCCCAAACTCTTTCAAGTCTCCTGGGTGACTATATGAGACTGACTCTCAGGCAGAGATGACTAATGCCCAAATACAAAGGATGTACTAGTCTGTTTTCTAGTATATTGACTGACCTTTGGACACCTGTTAACTTCCTAGGACTGGCTTCCCTCTTGGGCTTGCTTATCTGCTCTTGGCTGCAGCTCTGCTGTCCCCTGCTGGTGGAGTAGAATCATAGCAGGAGCTTCCCTCCCCAGGTGATCTCAAAGGCCCTGTCACCTGAAAGGATGTAGACAAGAATTCCAGCCACACCGCGGCTCCTTTGCCCTACCCTGTCCATTGCCCCTCAGATGGTGGGAAGTGATGTAGGAGGAGGCACAGCTATACAGTTTATGTAACCATGTGCTTCATTTTGTTAAAAGAGAATCCATACCTCCCGTTTTCAGATAACCTCATGGGAGGCAACTTAAAAGGTATTTTTGCTGGGTGTGTAAATTAACTAAACACTGGACATTTGGCCTTCCTGCCCCACTTTGAATCTGTGCTTTTTTGAGCTGAGATATTCCCTCCTGCAGTCACTTTACTATAGTCACATTGGACTCCAGGAAGAACAGAATTCATCAGCAAATATCTTCTGACAAAAGGCAAACTGTCCCTCAGACAGCAAATGTCATCTTCATATCATCCTATCAAAATCAGCCCCAAACTAAGAGCTACCTTTCAGGCCTCTAGCATCGAAGATTGAGCCTAATGGTCAACCAGGCCATACCTATGACTTGAGACTATTTTAACTATACAGAATTTTCCCACCTACTTCCCCGACCCTCAATTTTCCCTATTTAACCTAAGGCCATGTACCTCTGAAGATGGCTGAAGATGTACTGAAGTACTGCCTTTCCATGGCTTCTATGTAATAAATCCTTCTCTGCCCTTTACCATGTCTCTTTATTTTGCTACAAGGGCAAATGGCCAGACATAATGTGGGACTCCTGCACTTTGAGCCTGGGATCTAAAAACTTGGTTTTAATATGAGGACTGAGGCTTCCTATGCATTTCAGAGGTACATTGAAGAGTGTGGAGACCAATGATGGAGAAAGTGTGTCTGATCAAGTACGTGAGCATGTCAAAACGCAACCCCCTAGACAGCTAAAATACACTAATAAAAATTTGATTAATGGAAAAATGAATTGAGCAGATGGTTTTGAAAAGAAGTATAAATGAGCAAGAAATACATGAAGAAATGTTCAACATCCTTGGCTAGAAAGGAAATGCAAACCAAATTGACACTGAGATTCCATCTCACCCCAGTCAGAATGAATATACTCAAACTCACAGGCCTCTCCTGGAAGGCCTTGATACATTAGATAGAATGGCTATGAATTTCCTATTCCCAATCCTTTGACATGTCTTCAAATTCCATTGTCTTCCCCTGGCATCTCACATATGACTCTCTTGGTATGAAGTCCTTTTATCCCAGGCAGTAGACTAAGACCACATGTCATTGAGTCTGGGTTGTCAGTCTCATCATCACGCTTTGACCTCCCCAGCACCAGCCCCACTTTCCATCTTTTGTTGTTGTTGTTGTTTAAAGCCTAATTTGTTTGTCAAGTGCAGTTAGGGATGAACTCTAACCTACGTATCTAACAGAAATTCCTGGAGCCAAGCTACTCTGTAAGGGTGTCTTGGGGAGTTTAGGACCTAGTTATATCCATTTCTCCAGACTGAGCCTCCTATTTGACCACATCCTTTTAATTTTATCTGCCCATTTGCTTCTGTCCCTATATTATACCCAGTGGATACCCTAGAGGTACTTTTCTATGCCACTTCTGTGACATAGAAATACATCAGATTTCATCATGTCTTCGTTGCAACTTACATATGATTATCTTGGTGAAGAAGTCCTTCTTCCCCAAGCTGTGCTTTGCACAGGCCATGAGAAGAAGACTACATAACTTTGAATCTGTCAGACATATGCATAGGCAATGCCTTCCTGAACAGAATTACCATTGCTCAGTAAATGAAAGCAAGAATGGATAAATGGGACTATATTACATGTAAAAGTTTCAGCATATCAAAATAAACTATTTTCTCACTAGGTTAGAGCAACTTGCATAGATATATCTGTGGGCCCATATTTTACATGAAATTGCTTATGGAATTTGTCTTATTTCTGGTCAAGCACTATTGGTCAGGACAAACTCCAGGCAAGTCTGCTTGTCAGAAAGGTACTGAACAGTCAACCACTGACAATGCTTCCATGCATCAAACTGTGCATATATGAATATATTTTAATTTTTAGAATATAAAAAAGAAACAATGACTGAGATGAAGGTATGGCTCAAGTGGTAAAACACTACCCAGAAAATAAAAAGCTCTAAGTTAAAACCCCATTATCACCATTAAAAATAGAAATTAAAAGGAATAATCCCAAAGGTGGTTATAATATTCAATATACATTATGTAAAAATTGAACTATGTAACTTGAGGGGGGAAATGGAAGTAATGATGGAAGAGATGGCATTGATCAAGATGAACTGTACTCAACTTATAGAATTGTGACCTCTTTGTACAACTAATTAATAATGAAAACTTTTAAAAGAGGGGTTGGAGGCATGGCTCTAGTGGTAGAG